GAGGCAGAGATGTAGAGAGGAAACCCTCGAAGTGGGTTTTGTTTTCTCTCTCCTCTCCTTCGGATCTTAAAAGATGAGACACGATTTGGTGAAGCGCGACTATGCTTTGAACACTATACCATTCGTTGTTGTGCTCTGATACCAGTGTTGATCCAAGTGCATGTACAATCGAACGGCTGAAGTCTCTGGCGGTTTTACCTGCATGCAAATAGAATGAGAGCAGCTTCACAGTATCGGACCCGAGACACCAACCTCTCAAACAATATGTAAGAGAGAGTAGCTTAATCTGATTAGAGCTAAAGCTGAGAGGATAATTTTCCTTTCTCAGTAAAGGGCTTTTCTCATTGTGTTGAAGCACTTGGGAGAGATCCCTTAAATAGTTGCTCCTCCAACGTTAAGTTCCTTGACATTAAGAACAATAGTTACTAGAATAACCAATTGAGATAAGCATTAGAATTTATGCTCCATCAGATTTGAGACAAGTGTCTCAAGTTGACCAAGGATCTAACCACTTGGTCACCCAGTCTACACTGGGTCAAATGGATATCCATTGACCCAATAAGAGTTGGAATATGGATCCAAATAATCCAACAACATTGGTATCTCCATGCATAAAAATGTTTTCAAATAAACAATCAAATAAATTTGTTTTTATAGAAAATAAATAAATAGGTAATTATTTAAAATGAATGATTGTGTGTGAGAGTGTTGCATGGAGACAGCCATCAACCATCAACATGTGGCTTATCACATGGCCATTGGATATTCCAACATGTTGAGGATTAAACGAGGGCCTATGGCCACTCTACCATCAGAGTGGACTGGACTTTGGTAGTTCGGAACAATCACTATGTGGACGCATTTTCCTTGCAATGAGAAACACACAATATGAGCATTCAACAATGAGAACATGATCCCTTGATTATACAGCATTTGCCGAGTGTATGTTGTGGTTGTTTCTAATTTCTTCTTTATACAGTATATATATATATACCATATATTAATTAGTCTGTTTGGCAAACCATTTTGGGAGATTTTTCAAAAAGATAACATTTAGGGCTGTTTGGATAGACTTTTAGTTTTGAACTTTTGGAAATACAAAATTACAAAGTATATAAAATACTTTTATTTTGGTATTTTTGTTTTAAAAACCGTTTAGGTCAAAAATTTTGAAAAATATGTTTTTCAAAACAGAAGTACCATTTTTTGTTTAGCAAAAGTACATCCATTCATGCTTCCGGTGATAGTTTCCAGTGGTTTGGCGATCTGAGACCGGCGACAACGATCCAATTCCAACAGTGGAGAGCAAAGGTAGGATCGAGAGTTTTACCGGAAGGTAGTCAGACATGACCACCCGTTTGCATGAAAACAGAAGCACTATTTCACCAAAAGCATGAAGTATCTAAAGCCGATTTCGTGCTTTTGACAGTTTTTATACTTTTAAAATGTATGAAAGTAAAAGCATAAAGTATACAATATCTCGTACTTTTATGTATGAAAGTACTTTATAAAAATCTATCCAAACAAGGCCTAAAATCTTTTGCTTAACAGCCCAATAAACCACCATAGACCAAGATAGCTACCAAATGGCGTTGATCTTTAAAAACAAAACACCAAGGGCTCAATGCATTTTTTGGTCTTTTGGATTGTTGGAAAATAATTTTAAAAAGAGTTGCCAAATGAGACCGATTCCCGAATAGAAAGATATCTAACTTTTTGGTAAATTAGATCAAATCAATAAATGACTTTAATTACTAGTGACCAATTAAAACAACTTTTTGAGTCATCAATTTCACTTTGACCCATTAGGAAACGTATCAATCAAGGTCTTCCTTGTTCAACAAAGGAGAGTGGAAAGCAAGAACAAGAAAGGTAGCGTGGCTGACTGGCCGTGGCCAAAAAGTTTTAAGTCAACTTTATGTATCTATCTAAATGTCCTATTTTAAGGGCTGGATTCCATCCCTTTTTCTTTCCAGAAGAGTTATGACGGAAGCCTGACTTCATTAATGTGCATTATGTCATCATGTGGCTAACAAGCATGACAAGTGAGGATTTTTGTTTTAAAGGTTGTGTTTGGAACTTCTTTTCAAACGGGCTTTTTTTCTGCTTTTTACATTGTGATGTTAAAATCCAGTAAAAATTTTAAAATTGTTTGGCCATCTCTCAAAATCCAAAAAAAAGTCTGTTTGAAAAAAAAAATCCATTTAGGTCATTTGTGGTTCAATTCTCATTCTTTTTTATCTAAGATGATATTCTAAAATGGACAAGAATGATTAAAAATAGGCAAAATGAGAGAATATTGTTATGAACCAAACACTTTTTTCTTAAAAATGAATTATTTTTAGATTGACAAGTGTCCTATGTTACTCAGTTTCATTCTTCAGAAGAGAAAGAGAGAGAGAGAGAGAGAGAGAGAGAGAGAGAACTGTCTTGGTATTCATAAAGCGCTAGCCTAGGTCTCCAAATCTAGTCCAAATCCATACAAATCAAGTCTAATCTGGTTCAAATAAAATGCAAATGGACCATATTGAATTATTGGGAATTTGGTTTAAGTCCGATTCAGACCGATAAGAATATGGACCAATTTATTTTGGATAGGCCCAATCCAATAATTATAACGGACCGTCCAAATCCGACTTGATAAGGTTTAGAATGGATTGAATCCAATCCAAAACCTGTCCATTGACACCCCTATCGGCAATCAATGTCTGTCGAGTTGAGTTTCCACATTAGTCTACTAATAAACATCTATGACAGCAGTTTTGTAGACAGAGTTTCTTCAAAGAATGAAAATTAGCTAGATGGGGCATGATTGTTTTTTATGCTGCAGGCTACCTCAATTTTTAGGTTATGAGCTGATTTTTTATTCTAAAAGTAATGTGGCCCATGACAATAATTTTATAATCAAACACTAATGTTATTGATTTTTGCCTAGAATGAGCAAGAATTAAAAGAATGAAGCCCAAAGTAGTGAACCAAACTTATATCTCACGTTTGTAAGAAGCTATTTTGAAGCAAAATTTTGATACCAAGCCAAACACAAAATAAAAAGTTTTATTTATTTATTTTTTTCAAAAAGCCCATTTCAAAAGTGCTTTTTCTAAAAGCCCATTTAGGCCAATAAAACACTTCAAAACGCAGCCTAACTCTGAGATATAAGTTGAATAGTTAAGAAACATATTGTGGGATGTGTTGTGGGGAGCAGTCGAGCAAATCTAGATTCGTAAGAACATGCAACACATTGACTCTCTTCGCTGCCTGGAGTTGTGGAACTCGAAGTTGCAGGCTGCTTGTCTAGAGCAGACCTTTAGGCCTCAAATTAATCATAAATAAAATCAAAATCTACTCAACTTCTTGCAAATAATTCAAATTTATTGAGAACCATTTTCATCATTATCAAGCAAGCCTCGCCAAACCCAGATAAATACCAAACTCTAAACACTACATTCAATTAACAAAATAGCCTTTGTTTTAACACCAAATAGTAATATCTTTATTTTAAATTCTTTTTAAGTTCCAAATCAACACAGTGCATTTGGATGACACTGCCACTTGACTTCTGTTCTACTCAAGACTCAAGACTCCAAAGCGACTCTTTCTGACCCATTTTAAGGCATATGAACTTATGCATTATGTGTTAAGCTTATGTAAAGGGTAAATGAAATTTATGTGTTTTCAACAGGTTTCAATCAAATAATTGTAATTTTTTTTTGTATGTTTGTTGATGCCGTTTTGTTTGTTTATTGCTTATATATGATGACAAATAAATAGAAAATCATATGCAGGTTATGAACCCGACTTGCCCATCCTCAAATGAGGGGAGACTAGAGTGGGGAAAGATTTTGCATAATCCAACCTGCTGTGGATTTTTAGAGGATAAAGGTTGAGACATTTGGGAAAGAAGATGGTATCTAGAATTTTCAAAACCCTCCCTATTGCTGTCGCTAGAGTAAGCATCAATTGCATATCAAAGAGATGCGCCGGCCATTCACATGGGTACAATACAACCATCCCAATCTATATTACACTTTTAACCAAGGAAAAACGCCTCGCCAACTTGGCATATTCTTGGTGTTCAAAGTTACTAAAAGATTCCTAATATCTTGAAAGTATGCATTGCACATCAATTTGAAACAGAAAGTTGATTGTTTTATAGACCTCTACTTGTTAAAGTAGATGGAGACGTACAAGAGGAAGACGGAAAGCAAGTCGTGATTCTATCTAACGCAAAGTCAATTTAGGAGGTGTTCGGCACCGTCCACGGGATGAACACCCGTTCAGTTGGTTATGGATGGGACTGATCCACATTATATCATAGACTGATCTCGTCTATACCTCAATTTCTCATCCACGACAAAAATTCGTGGTTAAAACCCATCCACACTATTTTTTTATCCCCCGTTTCACACTCCCTAAAAGGCTGATACCTTATTGTTCGTTTCACATTTTAATATTTTTATCAATAAAATATTAATTATTTTATTTAATTTTAAATTTTTTATGTTTTTATCAATAAAATAATATTTTTAAATATTTAAAATATATTTTTTAAATTTTAATTATTTTTATAAAAAATTGATGTGTATTGGCTAATATTAACTCATTGATGCATTTTTTAATATATTTATCATATAAAATGCAAAAATTAAATATTTATGATTAACTGTATAGATCAAGGTTTTCGAACTGTCGTTGACCCAAACAATCGGACCATTCGACCCAGGAACTATCCAAGCAAGCGGTTCCATTTGACCCAAAACCCGGTTTTTGGCCAAAACCGTTAAAAAAGTCAACAACCCGTTGACCCCGACCATCAAACCATCGACCCCGTTCAACGGTTTTTGACCTTTTTATTTGTAAATATTTTTTTAAATTTGCTTGTCAAAACAGGTCGTCCGTTCAAACTAGACAGTCAGACCGTCAACCCGAAAACCAATGATCAAAACGATTCCATTTCCAAGTCATTTTTTAAAACAGTGTAGATCACTCATAAATGTATATGAGATGCATGAAATCAAAAAGTGATATGGATTTATTCACAAGCAACCACCAATTTCTCATCCATAATACAAAACACCCCATTAATCTATTCTTCTAAACTTTGTATTCCGAAACCTCTTCTGTGTGGAGTCTCGACTGCATCATTTGTGTAGTAGACCGACTGCAACGAAAAATCAAACCTCAGCTTTTGAAGGTTGGAGAATCATTTAGACGTGGTACAATCTTGTGAACCAATTCCTGACTTCCGGTTGAATTTTGTTTGTTTGGGGTAAGCTCAACTCTAGTTGCTTAGCTTTGCAAAGGATAACCTGCAACTGTCTCGCACAGTAACGCAATTTCAAATGTTTTCCCAGCCGCAACCAAAGATGGTCAGCATGGCTGTAAAGGTCTATTAGGATCTCAATAGAAAACCAAGACGTCGGTGTGTGAATGAGAAGTGCACAAAATCCATTGCACCATTTTCCCCGCAATATGTTAAAATTATGGACTCTGCATGTTCTCCCTGTCATATATGAGCATTCATCCCTGTGATCGAGAAAAATAGGTTAAAGAACTCTTTCCACAGTATTCATGTAAGAAGCCATTCAACGTGACAAGCACAAACTAAGCACGAAAATGTATTACGTTGCAACATCATCAATCCAGTTCTATCTAAAACTGCCTTCTCATTTGAAACAGGTGCAAGAAACTGAGTACAAAAGACCTAACTGTCCTGAAAAAACAATGACCCTTTTAATAGCGGTCATAAGAAGATGGACGCCCTCCCCTACTGGGGCGATCATACGGCCCTGGCCTGTCCCTGTAGCTTCCTCCCTCATGGCGTGCTGGGCCTCCACTACCATACCGGTCGCTGCCTCCTCTTGGACCAGCATCTCTATCATAATTCCTGTCTTTTCCATATCCGTTCTGGGGATACCTATCTGAACCACCCCCATAACGGTCACCTGAAAAGTGATCCCCACCAGGGGGGTACCGATCATTGGGATAACGATCACGGCCCCCATACCTGCCACTGTCCCTGCTGTCCATGCGTTCCCTGTCTCCATAGTGTCCACCATCATAACGATCATCCACATAGCGATCACCATAACGGTCTCCCCCAAAACGATCACTGTAGCGGTCTCCTCCAAAGCGATCACCATAGCGGTCTCCTCCAAAGCGATCCCCACGGCCACCACCACCACTGAACCTAGAACGTGAAGAAAACCGTCCACCACCACCACCACCACCACCACCACCTGCAGAGGGGCATTCTCGAGCCCAATGCCCTGGGCGCCCACACTTGAAACAGTCAGACCGTCCTGCAGACCTATCTTCTCCTCCCCCACGGTTGCCCCTGCTACCTGATGAGTAGCCTCCGCTGTAACCATACCCCGGATCATCTCCCCCCATCTTGGGTTGGGCTTTGTTCACTGAGATTACCCTACCACCTAATTCCCTGCCATGCATCTCTCTGATAGCATCTTCCATTCCCCGTTGATCTGCAAATGTCACAAATCCAAACCCGCGAGGGCGGCCTGTATCTCTATCCAACATGATCTACACAAGCATCACAAACTAAGAAACTGATACCAAGTAATTTTGCACAAATAAACTGTTTTGTTAAAAAGAGATTCTAAGTTAACTTTCATGTACAATCATCACACTTAGAAAACAATTCTATATAATAAGGATGGTGAATAGTATGACAACCAAACATGTCACTATATCAGAACACCATTAATAATTCTAGGGATTGCCACAGCCTAAATGGATCAACAATCCCTGAAAATATATTGGAAAACGAAGAGATTAAAAGTTGAAGAAACCAAGATGAAAAGTCAACATGCATTTCTGAAAAAAATGCAGTACTCGGTCACTACTCTTGATGTTCTTCTGTGGCTGACATGGTTGTAGGCTATAGCCAAAGGTTATACAATCTAAATATCATACTAGCCAACTCTTCCCCTCGAGTTTATAACAACCAAAACGTTAACAATGTTTTCCTTATTTATCATTCATCCAATGCAAAAGCCTTTTCAATTTTAAAGTTCAAATACAGCTTAGTCTGTGAAAGTGTGAATCTAAGGCTCAAAGAAATGCACAGAATTACTGGACAGAATATTTTTTAAGCAGAGGAGCTTTTACATGTTATAGCAAGTGCTTCCTTTTCTCTGTGGCAAGGGTGCCATGCATTCAGGTCAGCATGGATGTCCAGCACATCATCCTCCAAAAAGCATGGTATTGTGTCATGGTGAATAGCAATGTTTAATTACATAAACAATCCAAAGAACATAGTTGAAAACTAAAAATAAGATAAAACAAATTTCATATGCTATATTGGATGAGTCATTTCTTGTGATATCTTGGTCATGAGTGTCAAGTGAGAAGGTTTTTTTTGCATATATCAGCTTTCAGCATCATTGAGATGTAGCCTGCAATGTTGTACCAAGTTTCAACATATTTAGACACTTTAAATTTTAGGAGTCCTGGTAGCACTGGTTATAAAACTTAGCAAATAAAAACAAAGCCTTATGACTTCAGCAGTTTGTCCTGGTTGTCAATACAGCCTATTTGGTAGAAAGAGTTTTGCTGGATGGGTGCACCAACAGACCTAGGTTGGTTAGGTTAGGCATGCAGGAATTTATGATACCCAGATGTCTGTGCAAAGGTGCCATATTGTGTCAGATACTTCATATCCAGCTCCAAACCCCCCTCTTAATTTTCTCATTTTTTTATTTTTCCTTTTTTTAAATACAGGTCGTATTGCAGAAATAGCCAATCACAAATGCCTTTCATGAGAGCATCTGTTTGAGGAAGAGATACCAGCAGCTCTGGAAGGGGTACAAAGGACTAAAGATCTGAATGTCAATAAACTGATCATCGTCTGAGATTGAAGTGAACTGGCTAAAAGAAGACATTTCTAGACTTTGGAACTACAGCAATGAAAAGAGGAAATTTAAATGGCTAAGGACATTGAAGTTCGATGCAAATGGGTAAACAGAAGTGCAAAATCATTTGCAGAAAGCTTAGCTAGGCAAGGGGTGAATAGGGGTTCTGTTTTTTGTGCTCAGTTGTAATTGTTCTTATAATTTTGGATGTATGTTGACTGTTTTGAGTAAAGATATTTTAGCTCTCCTCCTCTGTCGTTTTATTCTTAATTAATGAACTTCTGTTATTGATAAAAAAACGAATAATACCCCTTCACATCTTCAAGACTCTGTGGTTGTCCAAAGCATCCCATTTGCAGTTTCTTCTTACCATTCAAATCCTTATTGTCTTACCATCTTCTTCTTCAATGACTGCAAGGTTCTCTGTTGGGAGGGGAGGAACTATCTTCATCATCTACCAATGTTACTAAACATGAGAACCTCAAAGCATGTCCCTGTCCCCATGGTGATCTCAGTTGAAGCTTTAGGATTACGGGAACAAGGCTAGAACATTGATTTAAAAGGCATGGGAGGCATGAACCTGGAGGCACACAAAGGCACCCCTAAAACAACCTGAGGCATGTGCATTGAAAACTCTGGTGCATATGCCTCATGCATAACTCATACAAAGAGACAAAAGAAAGTAGAGGAAAAGGAACAAAGAAAAGAGAAGAAAAAAGAAAAGAAAAGAAAAAGGAAACAGAAGGGAAGGGAAAAGAAAGGAAGTCTGGGCCGAGGACATATTAGCTTGCCTCTTAATATAGGACAGATTTGAAAAAAAAAAAAAGAACAAAGAAAAACAAGATGAGATCTCCCTCTTTTTTTTTTTTGATAAGTATCTCCCTTCCTCTTCTTCATCCTCCTCCTACATTGGGCTAGAGTTCTGCAATCTATCATGTAAATGGATGATAAAGTAGTATAGCCTGTTTGGACAATCAGGCGATTTCTGTAACACTTTGTAAGCACGCCAAAGTCTACTGGCAGAAGCTGAGCTCTTCCTTGTTTGTTTGTGTCCATAGAAAGATTTTCTGTATGTATGTATGCCCCAATATAATATTAAGTGCAAGTTGCTTTATCAAAAAAAAGTACAAGTCCATTAACAATTATGCATATGGGGGATAATTCACAATATAAGATACTATGAGTAAAACTAGTTGAAAATCAACATATAATATATAGATAAAAATAAACAAAGTGAGTTTCTTACTTTCACAGTCTGTGGATGACTGTTTCTAACTAAAAAAACTACCATTCACAGAGTCAGAAAAGAAGTAACAACTTTAAAAAGAGGGCAGAAGCTATTAGAAAAGCAATAATGAATAAATAACAATTAAATCATATAAATTTGCTTGATATCAACAGCTTCTTAATGGAAACAACGAAATCTGCATGTCTGAATATGTCTGACATCTTACCTAATATATGAAACCGTGAATTCAAATTCCACCTAGTCAACCGGCACAAATTCCAACATACACTAAATATAATCAGATGCCACAAAACCTTCAAAAATGCCTAATCTCCCAAACATGATTTTGACAAAAGCCACTTGATCTGGCGTCTAAACAGAAAACTGACAGCATATTCTTTGATGTGGTAATACTAGCCAACTTTCAATTTTTCTGTAAAGCAGTAATGCAAATCAGATGGACACCAGTATTTACAATATTCACTTGTTCCAGGCTCAAATGTCACCTTCCATGTAACTGACAGTTCAATACAGACAACTGGCTCCAATGATTGCTACCATCATTTTTTTACACTTGGGTTATTACTTTATCAAAATGTTCACAAATCAGTGCTTACTTTTTCTTCTGTATATGTTATCCATGAGAATGAACTAGAAGTGCAGAGATTGATCACCAACATCATAAACCCAGTTGCCAACAAATATAAAACTGTTGGAATGATCAAAACGTTTTCCCTACACAATAAACCTCACTCACAACCAACTTAACTCTTGCAGGATATACAAACCACCATGCAAGCTTCAACACCAACTCACAACAAATTAATCAACTGATGCCACTTACAAACCATCAAAGTTGGAAGACTGAGATCTGTTAACATTTGTTCTACAGATTGAAGGTGATGGAAGAATTCAACTGCACAAACTGTTCACATGTTGCATAGAAATAAGCAGACTCATCTGGCATGGACATAAGAAAGTGCTGATCCTCTACAAACTTCTGTTTTTAAGATTTGTACTTACCGGTGAAGTATCTGCTCACACTATTATGACATCTAAGAAACAATGGGGTCTTGAAAGTGCAATATCTGCCTTCTGCCACTAGCAATAACAAGCCATGAGGACACATCATGTTGGATAAAAACCTCTACCATATCTCAAACTATATTAGGAAATGATTACTCGAGGCAGCAACATCTGTCAGCCCTAAGACTAGATAAGTGTAAGAATAGAAATAAGGTTCTGAGCTGAAATTTCTGAAACTGCAGATTTCCAAATATCATAATGCAACACTATATTTGGAAATGGGTACTCAGGGTGGCAACTCTGTCAGCCTTAAAACTAGGTAAATGCAAGAACAAAACTTGGGTTCCGAGCTGAAATTTCTGGAACTGCAGATTTCCAAATATCACAATGCAACACTACAGAACTCTACCAACAAATTTGAGGAAGAGGCTCGCAAATAATTCTGGCAGAAACAGGCATTCATTTCTCGATTAACCAGAAACATTCAGCACATCAACTTGATGTTGAATTATCACCCTAGTGAAGATCAAACTAGTTGAAAGCAAGTATTAAAATCAGTCTTCTTGCAAGGGAACTGAAGAACATGATCTGGAGTGGCTATAATGGCACTAAGCAATAAGCATATGGAGTTTCAACAACTATTAGAAGAAAGTATTACATGGCTTTTGTTACCACTGAGAATCTGAATGAAGGAAATGGGCACTCCCCTACAAACATCTGCATCTTTGTTTACAAGGTTTCTGAACGTTCTTATAAACCTTAGGGTAGTTGTTCAGTATGGAAGATAGCTCTTATATAAAATAAAACAATAAACTGGGGTTTTCACACTCATTCTCCTTTAAGTATGCTTATCAGGGATCAGGCATGTTATCCCTTCTGCATTTCAGCATGATAGGATGTCGTTATGGGATCAAAATGAAGTAACAGTGTTTGAGAAGACTCCAACAATGGACTTCCTGAAATTCCATTAGAGAAATGTCCATTGTTTGATATACACAGAATTATCACCAAAACTGAATGTCCCAGATCCAACTGAAGATTTTGTTCATTTCAAGCTAAACAAACATCTCACTTTCATTGTCCAGTTCAACCTAGTGGCTTGCACAAAACACAATGTGAGATTTGTTTGAACAGTCTGAAACGAGCAAAATTTCTTCATTAAGATGGCATTTATTCCACAGATATGAACCAAAAGTGCCCACAATCCATTTCGTTTACTGTGGTATCCAGAGGTCCAATCCTTTCACAGTAAAATGAATCTTCACAATGTTTATTACATCCTTATGACTAGTTAACAAATCATCTATGAGCCATAGCATTCAATCATGTGTAAAAAACATACTGTGGAATTCTTTCATGGATCTTGAACTGTTTCTCCTTGCGTAAGACTTCAAACAGATTAATGGGCATCCAACCAAAACTGCATCATGTGAATCCAATGCTAAATATCCATATCTAGATATCATCTCCTCAAGTTGATAACTCCCAGCTTTATAATCTCAAAATGGGAACACCCAAATAAAATGTAATCAAACAAACACCATCGAGCTTCTCAACTCGATGCAATCCAACCAAACAGAAATCTCTTACAGAACCCATCTAATGCGTTTCAATAGATCAAACCAGCATTCCAGAAAGAAAACAAAACATGAGAAAGACAATTAATACACTGGATAATATATGGAAAGGCAAATGGTAAATAGTAAAAGATAGCAGCAAAAATGCAATTTTTTATCAAATAATTTAATGAAAGACATTGTAGCAGGAACAAAGCAATGAATCAACAGATAACTGCTTTCCAGATCTTTTTGTATTAAGCATGCATCAGGATCATTTTACCATCTTCCATATTCTACATGAATGCTTTCCCATGTTAATAACTTTCCAATACAAGTTTCGTGTTAAGGATTTAAGCATGGTCAAGTAAAGAAAATACGACCTTAACAAAAAAAATGCTTGGACAGGTAGTCACCTCAAATCTACCACATACTGTTATGTTTCTTCCTTTCAAACTAGGGAGTATTTTTGCATGCAATCATGTTTCCAAAGCAAATATTTTGATCAACTTAAAGTAATGATGATAACATCAACTCCTAATGCTTAACTCATAAAACAAGATTGGGCTTCAAAGTTTGCTCCCAGAGGAAAAGTAAAAACCAAGCAAGCAAAATTCCACATCTTTAGGACTCCTGAGACATAACCTGTGGCTAAACGTTTCCAGTTAACCAATTGGATGAATTGCTACTTTGTAACCATGTGGTAATAAGCCAGCATCAGCCTACCCCAAAAGATAGATATATATAGGATTGCACAGATAGCAATTTAAAATAGAAGATGCAACTGGTATAAATTTAACAGGACTACTTTTTGAGATCAAATCTGCACCTCTAGCCACACTTCACTCATGAGAAAAAGATACGTAAAAAACCTAGTTCGATAACAGTTTGTTTAAAATTTTTAGGCAGCTAAGTGATGCATAGGTGCTTTGCCCCAGAAATGTGAGTCAATGCCTAGGCAACAGCTGGGTGTAGCCTAGGTAACAGAAATTAACAACTAAATACATACATATTTTATAAGGAATTCAAGTAATCATACATAAGTGTTATGAAATAAATTATACGCTATTCAACCACAAATTCAAATAAGTAAATCATGAAATGACAACTTGCACTTGATTTTCAGAAATAATGACAAGATTTCTAAATAAACTCCCTGGCTGAAACCGCTGCTAAGTAACACATTTCCCTTCTTGCGAGAAGAGGTATAGACAGAGATACCCAGTAACCACAATGGTTTCACATGCACCATGATGGTTTACCGTTATTTGTGTTGTAATGTTAACAACTGGGTTGCCCCATTGGAGCAAATATTACGAGTTGCTTGAGCCATTGTAAAACACGCCAAATCAATAGCATAGCAAAAGCAGGCCCTAAAAACCTCGCCCACATATAGAATAGCCATTTGCATCTAGTAGAACTAATTTCAGTTTTCAACAGGGTAAGAAAGGAATGTAAGGCTTCAAGATCTAAATCCATTAAACGGAAGAGGGATTCACATGCTTGCAAACATTGAATATCAAAGGAACAAGTTTCACCCTTGGCGCTTACTTACGCACGCCATCATGAACAAATCTGCAAGTAGATCATGCACAACTTCTACCAAATCTAATTCAAAAGGTTAGCCATTCAGAATAATGCCCCACTCTTCTATCCTCGAACACGGCTCTAAAAGCCAACGGCACGGCCATTCACAACTTGTAACAATTTACCTTTTCAACCATTTCGAGGAGGAGACAAAGAGCAAAATCCTAAACTTTTTATCACGAACTTATATACACCATTACTTTTTTTCAACCTTCGAGTAAAGAGTTTTACGCATTTGGGTTCTTCATCATGATTCATAAACAAACTTGGAAAACTTCCGTTCAAAAAATTAAACATTTTTTTGATAAATTAAACATTCTACTATTTTTTTTTCTTTTTGATAGGAAAATCAAACATTCTACTATTCTAGAACCAGAAATTGCAGCAAAAGAAAAACGAAAAAAGTAACAAGAAAATCCTTACCTGGGACTCAATAATCTTTCCGTAACGGCTGAATGCATCTTCAAGCTGCCGTTCCGTAGTTTCCCACGATAAACCTCCAACAAAAATACGCATCTCTTCCTTACCAGCCATCTCCCAGAGCACTTCAAACCAATGTAGAGAAGAATGAATCAAAACCCTAAACCCAGATGAGTCAATCTATCCGCAATTCAAAAAAAAAGTAACAAAGAGGGGTTGGGGAGGAGGGGATACTTCGCCATTTTAATATTCGACAGAAATACAAATATGTTAGAGCATGAGAAGAGGAGAGAGCACTTACAGTTCCACTCTCTTTCTTTGATAATACTAGGAGTTTTTGTTTCCAGTGGAGGCTCGGTCTCTTCGCCTGGCTGCAACTGCAACTCTAGCGGACGTTGAAGCGAAACCCTAGAGAACGGGTGACGCAGATGTTTCTTTTTGCGTTATATATTCCCCCACTCTTTTTCTATTTACACCGAAAAGGAAGGAAATATAAAGGTTACCGCTCACTGCTAGCGCGCCAGGGATGCAACTCGGGTTGGTCTAACCCGATCCCAATCCAACTAGACCCGAAAATATAACTAATTTTTTGTGGGTTGATTTTTTTATTGAAATTTTTTTTCGTGGGTTGATTAGGAATCTGGAGTTGATGCATTGCACAACCTGATTCAATTAGGGTCGGTTTCGTTTGTGGGAGTAGAAGTTCAGAATCGGGTTTATCTCGATTCCAACTGTTTGATTGTTTGGTTGGATGGAATCGAAATTTGATTCGCATTAGAATAGCATTTCCCCATTTGAGGGAACCTCCGGGAATGAGAATCTATTTTAATTAATTCTGATTTCGATTTTGATTTGAACCAAATAGATGATGGGAATAGATCATTCTGATTTTGATTTTAATTGTAAACCAAATAAACTAAAGGTGCCAATGTGCAATTTGGGCCTTTTGGAAAAAAAAAAAAAAACTGTTAAATTTTAAATGGGCTTGAGCCCAAACCCGAACTTCATATAATTGTTTGAAATTCTTTCACCTTAAACCTGTTAGGAGGGTGTGGTTGTGATAGGGGTACGTGATGGATTGTTTGTAATGTTTGTCAATTTCTTTTTCATTTGTTTGATTATTCTTCTTTGTCAACCCCCTCCCAAACTTCGTTTTGCAATTAAGACCCTGAAATTATTAGCATTCAATAGTTAGCTTCCCAGAATATTCTCTTAAACATTTATAAGACTCCAAACTACCCTTTGTATTGAATGTATCGTCCAAATTAGATATGATTTTATGAGAGAAATTAGGAGCAAAAACCCCATGGGTGGCCCTCAAATTAGATATGAGCAAGGCTTATGATAGGGTAGAATGGACATTCCTAGAGAGGGTGTTGTTGAAGCTAGGGTGGGTTAACCGGGTGTCACGTGTGTAACCACAGTCTCGTATAGAATGTTGATAAATGGTTGCTCGAGCAATAAATTCTATCCAGAAAGGGGTTTAAAGCAAGGAGACTCCTTATCCCTTTACCTGTTCTTGTCTGCTAAACTAACAATAACAGAGATAGTGACCCAAAAGAAAATAATTGACATTTCAATTACCATAAACCATCCAGTTGTCTCTCATTTTCTTTTTCTTTTTTTTTTTGCATATGACAATTACATCTTTACTAAAGCAGACCTTGGGGAGGGGCAGGTTCTTTTGGATACTCTCAAGCTCTATGAAGAAGCCTATAGTCAACAAGTAAATTTCTAAAAATCTGAGATTTCTTTTTCAGTATAAATTTGCATCCCAATATCCAAAGAATTCTGACCAGATTCCTTAAAATGAAAAAGGTGGATACTCCCTCTATATACTTGGGGCTGCCTACAAGAATTGGTAGATCCAAAAAGGCCTTATTTAATTTCCTGATATAAAGAGTGGAAAAATTATTGTCTAAGTGGCATGAATCTTTACTCTCTCAAGCTGGAAAAGAAGTTTTGTTAAAGGTAATGGCTAATGCTATCCCAAACTATACTATGTCTTGTTTTTTGCTACCTAAGGATGTTTGTAATGAATTAAGGAGGATTCAAACCATGTTCTGGGGGGAGGGGGAGGATCAAAAGATTCTATAAAGACTCATTGGATAAGTTGGGAGGCTCTTAGTAAAAACAAATTGGCAGGAGATTTGGGCTTCAGGGATCCGTATAAATTTAATTTAGCCTTACTAGCAAATCAGGCGTGGAGGATTTGAAGGGAGGAGGACAATCATTGGGTTAAACTCATTAAGGACAGGTACCTTAGGGGCAAGAATTTCTTAACTTTGAGTCTCCCTAAACAGGGATCCTGGGGTTGGCAAAGCCTTATAGCTGAGAAGTCCTCCAAAGGGGTGCCTGTTGGGCTGTAAATTATGGGACTAAAGTCAAAATTTGGGAGGATCCTTGGCTCCAACAGATCCAATCTTTTAGAATAATGGGTCCTAGGCCAAATAATCCAGACATTAACTGGGTGAAGGATCTCATTGTTGCAGGTGGTAGAAGGTGGAATACCAAACTGATTGAGGAGAATTTTGGGGATTCTATAGCAAGAAACATTCTAAGCATAAGCCTGACTACAAGTTCTTGGGAAGACAAACTTAGATGGATGCTTCATCCAAGTGGGTGATACATGATAAAGTCAGGATACTTTGCAATAAATGCCATCAGTAATGATGACCACAATAGCAGTGAGTACAATACAACTACAAGGGGTCTGAGAAAATCTCATTGGACAGAAATTTGGAAAGCTAAAATTGACCCAAAAAAAATCATATGGAAATGTTGTTTAAATGTCGCTACAGTCAAAGAAAACATTCATAAAAAATAAAGCTTGCCTTAGATGTTATATGCCCAATTTATCTTCAACAGACTGCATCCCTAATGCATTGCTTATTTGAGTGTGATCATGCACAAGCAGTGTG